TTGAGTTTTTACAAAAAAAGTATTTTGGAATAATTCAATAACAATTATTACTTTTATACCATTCCTATGTGGGAATTATATAATATAGGTGTAGAATATAGTAAATATGACCCATTTATTTAACAAATTGGTTTTTGTTGGATTTATTAGATTACATTTTCTAATATTAGGTATCAATGACATTTCCAAACATTATTAACATAACAACATAACATCCAGTATCCGAAAGTATATAAATATTATATTTTAGGTAAGTTTTTTACAGTTTTAGACTTTGGTATTTATGGTTTGTTGATATAATTGTTTGACAAGAAACGTCGCAGTTAAATTAAATTAAAAAAAACAAATACTATTTCTAATGCTTTTAAACATAAAATTAAAGCATAGTTAATTCTGGGAATTTTTAATTTAATTTAACAAAAAAATCCTCCCGGGGCGCGTCCTTCCTAAACTACTTCGGCAATCATTCACAAACGAACCACAAAGACATTGCAAACAAATTTGCGACGTTTCGAAGCCACAAAACGACAGGGGATATCGTGACCCTCCCAAGACCACGATTACTATAATGAATCAAGAATGTATATGCGAAAAGAATACGGACCGCAGTGGTTAAATTAAATTATAAATAAGTAAACAATTATATTAAATTACAGACTGGACTTAAACCACACATTATAGATTCTTAAAACATAACCCTTTTACACACAGTCGGATGAAAACAAACCTTCCTCCCAATTAACACAAAATTACAGTCATATTCCAGTTTCACACGACTTAATATGACACGAGACTGACAAACCCCTATGTTACTCTCGTCAATAGCACAAACATTTTCATTTGATCAATATTATTCCGAACTTTGTTGGAAACCCGCATTCTATTTACTTAGCTCTATGATTTGTAAATATTGCATTTAGTACTCCAAATGTATTACATAAGCGTGATTCAAATTGATTTAAGCTCAATTATTGTCACAGCTTTTATAATATTGGAGTTTTTTTTGATAGGAATAAATTATGACACGGTTGGTCTTGTAGCCACTACCGACTCACTCTTGAGTTTGGATTTTAAAGGTTTAGAAAATAAGCTTTGTACGATTTTGACGATTACTACCGTAGATACTAAAATATTATATATTCAAATAAATTGTACATTTTCAGTTTTGTACAGAGTAAATATTCGTCATAAATTTAAAATAAATTACTTATAAATGTCTTATTTATATAATTGTTGTAGTAATATTTTGCCATTTCCTACGCTGTCAACTCAGTCAAACCTGTAGATTAAGATCTATCGGTCTATTGTAAAGGGCCTTCGTACTGAACTGTCAATTTGAAGTGGGAATTCTCTCGAAACCGGCCAATAAAAATCCCATTCCTCCCTTTACAGCAACAGCCATGTGTAAAAGGTGCGTGCATCAATCATAAAGCGAAATTAAACGTCACCCTGTATCATAGGCCACTTTGAGTACAGAGGCCGCTGTGAAATTGCAGTTTCCGACACAATAGTTGAATATTTGTCAAGTGAAGTGTCCATTATGTGTGCGATTGTTTCAGTTTCAATCACAGTACTGTTTTGAAATAATACTTTTTTGAATTAGCTTGGTGCTAATTGAAAATCAATAATACATTTCTCCTTTTGGGACAGACATATTTCTGTATACTATACAGCATTATCTCTTAAGATGCGTGGATATAATGCTGCCTTCAAGATCGTTGTCTAAGGCCGCATATTCTTTAGAAATTAGAGTATATAATTAGGTCTAAATCATTTGTCTTAAAGAAAAAAAATCAGGAATCAACACCAGGATCTTTAACCATTGAAGCATGGAGACAGTAGTAGGTAGATATGTTTAGTCAAATATTGTGGTTTCATGACAATTCTTTTGTAGTTTTCGAGCAAATCAACATTCCAGAGTTAATAACAAATAAATAAACAGCTGAGATTCCTTTTTAAATATCCTTCCGTTTAATCAATCAATAAGCAAATTGTATTGTTATAATCTTTAATATAAGTTCTATTATATGAAAATATAGTATTGATTTAATAAATAGTAGCTTTCTTTGAAAGTACTTTATGTTTTATCTGAAATATCTATAGTAATATTATATAGGTGAAGTAATTGTTTGATTGCGTTAATCTTAGGAACTACTGATCTAAATGATTTTTTTAGGTATAATTCATCGTGCTGCTACCAATAGGAGCCAAGAAATAGTAGGAGACGTGGAAAAAACGGGGAGAATTATTTATCTTTGTCGGTGTCCGTTGCGTGCTCTGCAAAAATAATTCAAAATACCCAACAAAGAATTACAAAAGTTTTTCTTTACATAATCTAAATGTGCCGCGACGCCTGTAATCTTTTAAGATTAAAATTAACTCACAAGTAATGGTAATGAAATTTGGTCAATTTTTTTATTGTAAATGAACCTTAGCCAGGTCAGCTAGTTTGAGTAATTAGTTTATTTGATTCGCCAACATTCTTGCAACTAAGTACTAAATCTAAGAAATAAGTTTATGGGGAAGCAAAAGTTTGTCAAGAACAATTATAGGCGATAAAACAGAAAGGCGTTTAAAAAGAACCTATACAAAATTAACATATTTTTTTAAATAAGTAATCGATAGAGTCTGTTATCATGTTAAATATGGACTAGGCCATTAACTCATTGAAAGAAAAAGAGAAGTCGTTAAAAGAAATTTAAAATAATAATGTCTCTGTAAATTAAATGAGACATTCCCTAAACTAGACGTGCGGGCTGCGTCTGCGCGTGCGCCCCACTAAACGTCAAATAAATCAATTGCGCAATGTTACACGGTTTAGGTGAAGGACAGCTGGTGTTCGTGAATGGGCTAATTGGTTCCGTGGATTGGGAGATGACGCTTTTATAGCCGAGCCATAGTTAATTGCTGCTAATACTGTACTTTTATATTTGACGGGGGTGTTAAATTCGGTTTCTTTTTATGGGACAAATAGATAGTGAAGAATAATCCTAGTTATTAAATAGGTAGTAGAATATTGGAACTGTGATCGTAAATCATGACTAATCACAGTCTGTGGATTTCTGGAAATCTTTCTTATTTTTTTTTTAATAAGTCGACAGCGCATCTTGCTTAGATGTAACTTGGTTGGCGTTTCTAGTTTATAGTAAAAAATCTCACGCTGGTCTGTCCTCGTTTTTCATAAAGAAGATCAGTATTTTAGCCACACAATGGATCGCCCAAGAAGTATAAGCAGTTAAATAAAACACCTTTGTTATAAACCGCTAGAGTTGTATTACTTAAATTTGCACAATCGGCCTTTGCGTTCGGGCAGCGTTCGACATCCGTCACTCTCAACGCACATTTATACTTGTAAAAACTATTAAATTGTAAAAAAAATGACATAATTTATTTATGCGTACAAATAAATCTAACTTTAACATTTTCATAGTGATTTCCAATTACCTCCTTCTCTATATACATACAAATCTATTAAACAAATGAAATTAAAAGTTTTCTTTTGAAAAATGCTACCATTCCATCAGTATTTTCTTAAGACGTTGTCACGTTCAACTATCGTCAGTAAATCGACTTTACAGACAACCAATTTTTTAACGGTTCAAAACGCGACATATGTTAGTAACTTATTTACAATGCATTTTTACCACGTCGGGCAAAGCTCTATAACTTATAATGTAATTCAATTGCATGACCTCCTACACCTCAACGAAAGGCTTCAACTATCGTACTTTCTAGAAGCACTCTATTATGCAAATTTTAATACAAAGTCCGCCTTATAGCTCTAAGAAGCTCCTTAGTGCATGTAAGCGTTCTAAATTTTTCATAATATCGCTTAAACTCGGACGTTCCGAATAATTGAATTTAGTCTTGTACCGCCAGATGTCTCTGGCTGGCATTTGGGCGCGATTGCTATGAAATATTTGATAGGCGCCCAGAATAGATATGAAATGGAACGGAACAGTTCGTTTTGTTTTGTATATTGATTCTGCAAATAGAAAACTTTGATTGCGGATAAAATGTGCATACGCTCCGATATTTGCTTTCAACTCGGCCGGAATTAGGTTAAATCGCCTATCAAGATTCGAAATTCAAATATTTGCTTCGTCGGTCTAGTGGTTGAAATTAATATAAAAATGGTTAAATACTTTTATTACCAAAATTTAAAACTATAATAAAAAAAATCCGGTGGAAATGTGGGTATTAAACTATTGGCAAGAATATTGAAATTCCGCCAGAGTCTTATACACATAAATACATGATTTTTCACGTTATGAAATAAAAACGTCAGTGCTTTCTAAGTGGGTGTTATTCACGTTCACATTATCATGGACATCCATGCGAATTAATTGATGGAAAGTAAACACCACAGTCATGTAACATCTAAACAGGTAGCGCTTTCGACCTTTTTTGGTTTAGACAAGCATGGTGTTTAAATAAACCACAAACGAACGAACGAAGTAAATTAGTTAAAAGAATAGATTAGTGTCTCTTATGTCAATATAACACCTGCAACGCTAGTGCCATCTGCTCCGCCTTAAATTGAATGGCAGGTGAAACTGTTTTTTCCCTATAACATCTATTAGGACACAAAATAATTTTGCTCTAAGCAATCTGTGGAGTGACCTCAACGCGTTCTGTAAAATACGATCGGTCGCAATATAAATTCTCTTTACAGAAGGTAATAAGCGGGCTTTGTGCCGAGCCTCCTTGCAAGCCATTCGCTCATTCAACGCGAATTTTGTATGCATAGTAATGCACGATTTCAACCAATGCACGTCAAAGGAGCGCCGCTCATGCATGAGCAAAATATCGATGCCGTTCGAGAGTTTCGCCGTGAAAAATGCGAAAGAGCCTACTTCAGCCAGAACCGCTGCTCTCAGTTTCGGATCACGTTCAAAAAATCTTAGGCTCGAGGTTGTTTACCGCAATACAAGTTCACGTGATTTGTTTTTGGCAGTTCGATAGCGAAGGCTTATATTCGACGATTGCTATATCGTCCTTTACTCCTTAGTTATATAACCTGTGGAAAAAAGAAAATAAATTCTGATATTTTTGTAAGCATTACATAAGAGACAATTTACCTTAAGATATAATGTACGTTATCTATACTAATGTGTAAAGCTGAAGAGTTTGTTTGTTTGAACGCGCTTTTTTCAGGAACTTCTAATTCCAATACAAAAATATGCGACCAATAGAAGTAAAGAAACAGTAAGAAATGTGGAACAAAGGAAGAAAATTATTTTATATTATCTTTGAGAGTTTCCGCTGTGTGCGCTGTGAAAAGAGTTCAAGTCAAGATACTCAAAAATTATGCGGGGAAAATATTTCTCCTTAAATTATCTAAAAAATGTCTGCAGAAGTATACATCTATCTTTTACGATTAACTTGCTAGACCGACTAGGCGCGGGCAAAGTTGTGGAACCGCTATAATTTATAAAGATTTTTGAAGAAAAGAGAAAGAGGTTTGCAAAAACCAATTTTGACGCTCAATATAACTATTGCGGACGAAGTCGCCGGCACAGCCAGCCTTTAAATAAATCCGTGTATGGCTTACGCAATATGCAAGGTGCGCCCTTCAACCTGACAATCGATATGTTCTGACAACGCACTTCCACAAAGAGGCTTTCCTGCGTAACACTTTCAGCGAAACTGAAGTATCCAATCCAATATTCTCAATGTCAACACGCACCTATGTTGACGTATTGACGTTACAGCGATATTATATGGGACGTAAAAAATCTATCCGGCCTAACTGCTGATAATAGTAATTTAGATTCGACGTAAGCTAAAATTGATAAGTCGCAATTTTGGTGTTTAAACAATTTAATCTTTAAATACTGTCTATAGTTTACGCGAGTAGTACACATTTAAATAAAACACTTTAACGGTTTAAAACGCGATACATTAGTTAAACTTATTTGAAAATGATTTTTAACTTCGGCCCGACGTTTCGGATGCTTTGCAGCAGCCGTCTCCCCGTGACCACGGCTGCTGCAAAGCATCCGAAACGTCCGTGAAGTATAATTATAGGTATCAGTCAGTGGATTGCCCGATATTCAAAGCCAAAAACGTTCGACGGCTCATCTTAAGACATTATATGACTGGGAAATTTCACCTACCATTAAATGAACCACATACTTATCTGCTCTCTTCTATTACAAATAGAAAGAAGAAAAGAGAATCATCAAACACCGATCCGAAGAAGAGAATGAATTCTAAACTGTCACAGATGCATTCACAATCCACAGTTCATTTCGCGTAGCTTTGTACAACATTATGCATACCTAATGCGTGTTTTATAGCGAGCGGAGTTAGTGAATATTTCTAGAATCGGTATTGTACACGTTCCGTTATTGTTACGGCTCTGTAGCATCTGAATGCGTTTAAAACAACACAAGATCCAGCTTTTGTTCGCATTAAAACAAACTGAGCAATAACCACGCTGCGCGCTTCCATTTATATTCAGGCGCATAAAATTTTTACTAAATCGGATCACTGGTTCCACTGCTGTACTATCTTTTGTGCTGGCTTTATGATTATTTCGTTAATTTAAAACCTCATTTTGTTGAGTGCGTTTTTTATGCGGTATGGTGTTATAGCATTTAACTGCAATAGAGAGGATGACCTCAAGTTTTCTTTCTATAAAAAATGTGCCAATTCTGTCTTTAGTTAACGCGAGTACACATTTTAATGAAACACTTTAACGGTTAACACGCGAAATATTTCACTGCAAAGCATCCAAACGTCGGGCCTTAGTTAAAAAATTTAAATAAGTTTAAACGATATATTCCGCGATTTAAACCGTTAATGTGTTTCTATTTAAAATGATCATAGTTAGAATAAACTGTAAATATATTAAATTACATTTCTAACTATTTTTAGGTGCTCAATTTATGATGTAATAATTTAATGATGATAAATTAATGATATCTGACGACTCATCGGTCTAATTGCCCAATCGTTCAATAGTCCGATCCCCACCGGGTCCAAAATGTTACTTATCAATTTATAATTTTTCTGCTATCCGGAAATCTGGATACTAAATAGGTGGTAGAAGTACACAGATGCACTTCCACAGATAAAAAAGGTCTGAAGTTTTGTCGTTTGCGGCATAAATCTGTTTATTTTATTATTTATATATTATCTAAAGCCAAAAAAGTCGATAGCGCATCTTATCTTAGTGAAAATTAATATGGCCGAGATGGTGGAGAAGGTGATATCACCTTCCATCAAGTAAAGCTACTGCTTGTCTGTCCTCCTGTAAAATAAAAATATCTGTAATTGTTACTTAATTAAATGAACTGCGCAATTTGAACATATGTTTTTAATCTTTTCAAACCGTACAATTGTATAAAAGGCTATATGAATCTGAATGATACATAAACGTGCCCGTAGTATGGCGAATTGAATCGTTTTAGAGTAACGAGTGAACTGCATCCTTATAAATGGGCTAATAAAACCCGAATACGAATTTAATCGTTCGTAAAACATCGATAAACGAATCGATTTAAGTTGGCTCCCCAGGTGACTGGGAGGACTAAACTTTAAATTGCCTGTGGTATTTCAGGAAGGACTTTTACGGGCGTAATCAAGAAAAATACTAAAGTCCTTCGTGATACTATTTTTGAAATGGCCAAGATACTATAATTCGCGAGTTAACTGCTGTTATTTACGTAATCGATAGAAACTAATAGACGAACATAACACAATACATTAAAAAATATATCGATACTTTCTGTACCAAAATAAAATACTTTTAACGGATTAAAACTCGGAATACATAGTTAACTTTATAATGGAAAGTAACGGATTCGTCTACGACTATAGTTAAATTAAATTAAAAATATATTAAGTGTTATATTTCGCATTTAAACCGTTAATACTGTCTTCTTTAAATGACAATATTTATTTTTCGAATTTATAAAGTTAAAGTTTAATTATTTTTTTACAAGAAACAGTATTTTTGTAACCTTATTCAGTAGTTTTGGAATTCCTTGTGAACAGCCAGACAAAGAGATGTATAAGAGCTTGATGAATAAAACAATAAGATAGAGTAAGATTAGAATCGTGGAGTGGAGTTGCCTGGAACTTGGAGCATGTACATTTCTAAATTTGTTGCGCTGATCGATTTTAACAGACAAGTTAAATATTCTTATATAACCTTATCGAATGTTATGCTTTCCAGAATTGTCAGGATCTTATTAAACGTTAATTACTTATAATTATTATATAGTTATAAAATTGATAACCATTTATATATTGAACCTTTATTACATTTTTATATCTAAACAGTTAGTAGGATTCGTAATTTACGTCGTATTCCTAGTAAAAATAACACTATACTATATATGAATTTGTTTGTTTGTTTGAACGCGCTAATATTACGAACTATAGGTTGGAATATTTATCGAGAAAGGCTTTAAACATCTGGCTGTGATCAATAGGAATGAAGAAACATGGAGATGTGTGTAAAAACTGGAAAACTCATTCCTCTTTATAGATTCCTTTGCCTGTAAAATCATTTCAAGAAACAGAATAACTAATGATATTTTAAGATTGACATGCAAGAATGACGCGATGGGACGCGAACGACGCGGGTAAGAGCTATAATTTAAAAGCCTCATCGGTTGTGTGCAAAAATAAATTGTGATGTCCAAAATAACTATCTACGTGGACGAAGTAATTTGCACAGCTAGTCATTAATAATTAAAAAAAAATATTGTAGAGTTTTTACTCTCACTTACAACCTTCTTAGAAAGCAATTTAAAAAATCAAGTTAAATCTTGAATGCTTTTTTCCTTTAGTTGGCGCTTAAATAACAATAGCAAGCTTAATGTAGTAGACATTCAGTGTATTGAGCCGAAAGTCTAGCAAAAGTAATGTTTGAAAATGTTTGTTCTTTTAGCACAATTGATGCCCTTTGCTCTGGATAGGTGACTTCGGTTTGAAGGTCGTGAAAGTCAAGTTTCTGTAACTAGAATATTGAACCGAAACGATCTATTGATTGTTTAGGTGCTTTTAACTTTATCAAATTTGAATAATAGTTTACCCGTGATTCGTATCCAGGACCTTATAATTAATTTATAACATATTTGCTCGTAAAGTGGTTGTAATTACACAAATTTCAATATCGTAATGTATCTCATTACGTACTTGTGCGTTAATGTAATGTAAAAGGCACGTGTTCTTTTTAAATAAAGTTTTAAGATACTCCGTCTAAAAATTTAAAGTAGTCAATATTTTATGATTAAAAATTGACTTTGGGAAATAAAATATGACAAATAAACATTTAATTCTTCAATTTGATTAATTTTGAAAATAAATTACAATCATTTATCTTTAACAAAAACACAAAAATATTAATTTACTTTATTAGTAATACTGGCTGTTTTTGTACCTTTGCCTAAAAAAAAACGTTGATGCGCGCGCATCGCTTATTTGTGGACAAGTAAAAATAATTCCGCGCGCTTTTTCTTTTCGCTGTATTGTTTTTATTTGAAAATGTCGTCATTTCCTCGTAAATATGTTATAAAACGTCATATGACATACGTGCGCTTTGAAAATTAAAGTCTCTGCTTTCTTATAGCCCCCCCCCCGGGGTTGTAATATCGCCTCGGCTGTAATTTTGAACTTACCGCACTTATATCATAATGTACTATAACACAACTTTAAATTTAGGCTAAATAGGGGTGATTCAATTTAATTATAAAAGCAATAATTGGCAACAAATTAGGACCGGAAAGATGTCCTTTTTAGTAATACTAAAAATTAAACCACTCACTTTGTTCATAATAGAAAACTAAGGTTAAATTTAAGACGTCATTCGCCCTTTATAACAATGCAACACAAAAAATATTGTAAGCTTTAAATAAACTTTTGAAATATATTGTAAACTCGAAATTGGAAACCCCTTTGTGTAAACTAAACAAATCAAAGCGTTTAAACCATGGTTTAAAATGGGATTAGGTATATTATTAATTTGATATTTTATTTAATTACAACTGTAAGTTCTCGACTGCATTCCATAGAAAAAGTTAAAAATCATTTATTCACGTAGGGAACTAAGTAAACTTAAGAATGTTACCCCTAAAACTAAAGACTCTAAATTTACACTTACTACCAGTTTGTACCAATCGCGTAGACTTAGATGGCGAAGCTCTATTACTAGTATCAATAGTTTAGTGAAAGTGTTCGCAAGCCTGCTGCCGATACATTGCCTCCGGCGTTTTTGACATTGAACGTTTAACATACGGAACCTCGCGCATTTGTCGCACCGGAAGTGAAACGGAAAGGAACGCAGGCTTCCGGAAGTCAGCTGACGAGTGGGACGCACAAACATTACGGTTATAGTAAAGGATGTGGTGTAGCTTAATTTTTTTAACTTTAAGAAGATTTTTATTGTGGATAATTCTAGAATGGTTATGATTGCTATATTATTAGTATTAATAAATTTTCTAATCTCTAGCATCAAAATCAATCAAAGTATATAGACAGCCAAAAAAGGTCGACAGCGTATAGGACTTAGATGTTATTTGACTGGGGTATTTTACCCTCCCTTAGGTGAGCCCTATGCTTGTCTTGTCTCTATAGTAAAGGATAAACATATAGCTAAAAAAAATAACTCCCCTCTGTAGCTAAATGGTTAAACTTGTTGCCTTGCATTGCGATGAGCACGAGACGTCATGGGTTTGAATCACGGGGAAACAACAGATTGTTTAGATCGGCCAGGGCATAGCCTGAACTACTTGCCTGTAAAGAAAACCGATCAGTGAAACAAACATAGAAATGTGTTCGGCTTATAGGGTGAGACTAGATGTTATCTTTAATCAACTAAGTATTTCAAATTAAAGTCAAATTCAAAACAATTTCGTTGAATAAATTTTCCACGAATGTTTTGAATTTGACTGTTTTATTCACAATTTCCACTGCTTCTTCGCTCCCTTACGTCCAATTTGGAGTAGTACGAACCTGAGATTAGCGCGATCAAATAGACGAAAAAACTTTTCAGCTTTATATATTACTAGCTAATTTGCTCGCGACTTCGTCCGCATAGAATAGTTATTTTATACGACGTCGGTCGCGTCCCTTCCCGTCATAAAAGATAGACATATAGCTTCGGGGATTTTTTTAGATCATTTAAAGAGAAATCATTCCTTCATACAGATTTTTTGGGTATCTTTCACCGTTTTTGCAGCGTACGTCTCGGAAATCCATAGTGATGAATAATTTTCCCATTTTTTGTCAAATTTCCCGCTGTATCTTATTAGTCACACGACGATGTTTTATAGCCTATAGCATTCCTCAATAAATATTCTAACCAACACAAAAAGAATTTTTCAATTCGAACTCATAGTTCTTGAGATTAGTGCGTTC